CCTCAGCAAGTCAGCCAGCAGTCTCGATCCAGCTCCTTTCCCAGTGCTGCTGTTGGGTGGTTTGGTACCTCATCCACGCTTAGGTTATGTGTGTCAGTGAACATCTTGATCAAAATTGTTTGCAGAATTTCTGGTTCTTCTGATTTCTCTCCTCTTCCGTCTTTGGTCCCTTATAAGTCTTAGCTGCTTGATACTTTCTGTTTGGTCCCCTATTTCCAGTTCTCCAAAAACAACAAATGACCCAGGGGAACAAAAGGTGAATGTGGGGCTCCTCTCAGTATACTGGGCTTTTCTCCAGAATCTGGACCCCTCAAGTCCAGGTTGCCTTTGTTGCTCTTTGATGCTTTTAAATAGTTGGATTTTAAAAAGTTGTATAACACACATAACAAAATTTATCTTAACTATTTTTAAGTGTACAGTCCAGTGATACTAAGTATATTCATACTGCCATGCAAACATCACCTCTAACCATCTCCAGAACTTGGATCTTGCCAAACTAAAACTCTGTAGCCATTAAACAATAACTCCCCATTGCCCCTTCCCCTTAGCTCCTGGTCACCACCATTGTACTTCCTGTCTCTGCATTTGACCTCCAGTGTGACTCAGAGTTAACCTGTGTTATAGCATGTGTCAGAATTGCCTTCCCTTTTAAGGCTAATAATATTCCATTGTATGTATGTACCACATTTTGCTTATGCATTCATCTGTCAGTGGACGCTTGAGTAGTCTTTACTCTTTGGTTAGTTTGAATAATGCTACTATGCACACAGATATATAACTATTTCTCTAAGACCTTGCTTTTCTCAGAACCTTCAATTTCTCTGTATTCTCCCCAACGCTTGTTGTTTTCTGTGGGTCTTTGCCTAAATAAATAACTCCCAGTGACCACTGTAAGGACCAGGCAGGGAAGTGTAGACGAATGTGTAGTAATCCATAACTGCCCTTGTTTCATTAGTGGTATTATTGAAAGTACTGAACTACTTGTATTCGAAGCACAGATTTTATAAAGAGCTCCCTTAGACTTTATAAAAAGACAAAGGACTATTGTATTTAAGGTTGTACTAGCAAGTTTTGTAATTGAATGTGACCAATTCTAAAAGGTTAGTTTTAGAATTTGCTTCCCAAGTACCGATTTAGTTTCGTAAGAAAACATTATTCAGTGAGACACTAGATATGAGTGATACTGTGAAAGAATTTATAATTTATTTCTTTCCTTGGGTGCCTCATTGGCTACTGTGCCCAATAGCCATTTACCCTACTTTGCTTTTCTGTGGCATAATGACGGTTGGTTAAAAATATTTGCTGAACCATTTCTTATAGGTAAATTAACTAGTAAGAGTTGACTTCATTAACAGATTTTTTGCTTTATTTTGATTTGTTTTTAATACCAGTTTCTGAGTGGTGACGCTGTGTAGCCACTTACAAAGTCACTCCTTGACTTTGCACAGGTTTAGCTTTCATAAAATTTGTATTTTTACCTAGCACATCTTGACACCCCTAAAAATACTTTTGGCATGCTGAGTTTGATCTGTCATACATTAAATATTTAGGTGTCTTGATGGATTGGGTATCTTGGAGAAGCCATTAGTTAAGGGGGACAGACAAATCGTTTTTAGATGGTGGTAGTAGTAATACCTGCGGTCTTGTAGACTGATAACCTCTTGTCAACTGAGACTGTGAAGAGTCCTAGGTTATGAGTAGGTATTTGCCACAGAGGTTTTACGTGGACATCCGCTGGCTTAGGTCCTCTTTTTTTGTAGTAGGAGCAAGCAAGACTGCAACTCTCTGCTCAGCTCCTAGCGATCTGCCTGTCCTAGTCCGTGTTTTTAAACAGGTGGTACTTTTAAATTTTCTTGAATCTCACTTTTATAGTTGTTCTTGGCAGGGAAGTTGGTCTTAATAAAAGCTGTTCTATCAAGGATAGAAATGGAAATAAGTAGAATTAAGATTGTGAGGTGGATGTTGCATTACAGATGAAGTGCTTCTAGGTTGGTTTATCGAGTTAATTGCACAGATGAAGTCAGATGCAAAAGCAGTCTGACTGTTTCCCAGTTCTGAAAACAGGAGTGATGAAATGATTCCGTCATTGATCACTCCCCACCCCCTCGTCCATCTAGCTTGTGAAGGTTCCCGCACACTGCAGGTTAGCAACTCCTGAGAGAGAATAATAAATTTAGAGATTTAAAATGTAGCTTATCTCTGTGGAGATGAAGTCACCTCTCTTTAGTAAATCTGATGTTTGATTCAGACATTAGGCTTTCAAACATGTTTTTCAGAACATTTTATATTTAAAATGGCTGCATTTTGGCTTGAAAAGGCAGATAGAAGCATCCATCAACTTTCTACCTTTGCTGAGCTGTCTTCAACAGATAAATGACTGGTGTTAGACTCATACAAACTACATTTTGGTTAAAAAGCCTGAGGTTAAAATATTATTTTTATGCTATGTTTAATATTTTTTTCTCTTGGGATGATTTTTTTCTTATCTGTACTTTGAGATTGTACTTTAACAAAGAGAGGTTCCTATTAGAAACTAGTATTATGAAAATACTATTGTGTTACCCATAGGCTGATTGTGTTAATAAGCAATACACATATTTAGCATTTTCATTTAGCAAATATTTTCATACTTCATGTACACATCACAGGTTTATTGTTAAAGGTGTGCACGCACATCTGTTTAACATATGTGCACATAAACATGTGGTATATGCATGTAGCTCTTACTTTGCTTGATGGTAATTAATCATACATACTAAACATATAATATAAATGACTCTTTAGTATTACTAATTTAAATAGCCACACTCAAGTTTGTGGGTTTTCCCTTCTCCATTTAGTATCCCTCTGGGATCTATAATCAAATTTCAGAGTTAATATTATATGCCATTTGACTATAATCATTACCTACACCTTGAGAATCTTACATTAACATTAAAAGACAAAGGTTTAGCTTTCAGGCTACAACATCTGTATTTCCCTTCCCCACAGTTGTCTCTCATGGACTTAAACATTCGAAGCTTGGCTCCAACATCAGCTGACACACAGCCAGCTAATGGTAGAGATGGAAATTATATGAAGAATTCCTGACTCTGTGTCTCTTACTTTCATATTCAAAAATTTTTAATAACTGATATTTTCACTTTAGAGAAAATAGGTACTTTTCATGTTCCTCTCAGTACTTTTACTCCTAAAAATCTTATCCAAGAAAAATTGAACGCATACGTACACAAATAGATTGTACCTAAATGTTCATAGCAACATTACTCATAGTAGACAACGGGAAATGGCTCAGAATACCCTTTAGCTGATGAATGAATAAACTAAAGGTGGTATATCCATACAGTGGAATACTATTCAGCACTAACAAGGAGTGAAATACATATTACATTATTGAACCTTAACAACTTTATACTTAGTAAAAAGTCAGATATGGAAGATGACATGATTCCAATTATGAAATGTCTAGAAAAGAAAATGTGTAGAAAGAGAAAGCAAGGGTTCTGGGGTGGGATTGACTGCAAATGGCTTGGAAGATTTTGGGGGGCGGGTAGTGATAGAAATAGTCTAGGATTGGATTGTGGCAATTGTTATGCAACTGTAGAAATTCCCTGTAAATTATTGAACTGTACTCTTAAATGAGGGAATTTTATAACATACACTAGGGTCTGAAGGTCATGAGTAGAAAGACTAGCTTCAGTATATGGAAAACAGAGAGCCATCAAAAAGGGAGAAAGAGTTGCTCAGTGGGAATCTTGGTACTTAGTGTCTTGTGAAGCTCAAGAACTTGTCAGAAAAATCATCAGTGGAAATTTTGAACTCACTAAAGTTGATATCAGGACTTGGAAAATGTGAGCACCAAAGGTGCTAATAAAAGAGCAAGTTTCCTTGTATCCATTTGTTATGTACTATTATGTGACATAAATAAAAGAAGATTGGAGAAGGATGTCGCATGAAAAGAGTGTTACTCATAGAGAATTTAGTCAAAATTGATTGGAAGGTTGATCGATATCATTTTAGTTGCATCGCTAATATGGTAGAACTTCTGTTCATGTTCACCTTGTAGCTTTGTTTGATACTGCTTGTAATGCCAGTGTTCCTTTTCAAAGTTCAAGGACCACAGTTTAAAGTGGTTCTTAACTGTTTGGGGATTACAGATGCCTTTAAGAATCTAGTGAAAGCTCTGTTTCCAAAGTACTTATGTATGAACAAACACAATTTTATAATTTTAGGAAGTTCACAGACCAGAGAGCTTCTGGTTAAAAACAGAAAGGAATTCTATTACTAATCCTTTTGTGAGTTCAGATCAGTAGTTTTATTTCAGTGTATTTTGGTGTAAATATGTATTTTGAAATAATGACCAAAATAGGACTTTGATAGCCAGTTCTGGATTACCTGAGCTTTAGAAAGTGAGACGCCTGTAATCACATTGATAAGAACTTGAAAATAAGATGGCTAGTAGTAAGTAATCTGTTTAAAATGACAATAACTGGAGGTGTTTTAATGCTGCTCTGCTATAAGCCTGAAAGCCTTTTAATATTTACCAGTATGCAATCAACTTAAATCATTTGGGTCTTAATTTTACTTCATAGAAAATTGTTTTCAGGTAGAGTATTTCACAAAGTAAGAGCCATGTTAGGGCCTGGCGTGACTCTGGGGAGAAGGGAAGCTCTGCCTGTGTGGCCGTCCGCCTTTCTCTCCTGCTCTCTGCTTCCTCTCCTGGGCCCCTCTCCGGGTGTGTGCTTGCTGTTTTCTCCTCTTTTCTTAGGGTAAGTGAGCAATACAGCCATCGTTCATTTCAAAACAATTGTAAATTGTAAAGTCCTACTTTTATATAATTTAGAGGCTAGTAGAAAATTCCATGTTGCTTAAGATAGCTTGAAGTGTTTCTCACCTGAAATGACTGCTTTTGGAATTGCATTGCCTTTACTTTTGTAGCTCACGGTGAGTGTTATGTCTTCAGTTGTGCTCATGTTTATATGATTTTCTGTTCCCTGCAGGACCGTGTATATGTACAACAAAATAATGTGGAGAATGTCTACAATTTAGGATTAATTATTTTTCGAGATCAAGTTGTACGTTATGGGTGTATTAGGGATCATCTACGACAAACGTTATTGGATATGATTGCAAGAGAGCGGAAAGGAGAAGTTGTAGACCGGTATTAATCATCTTTTTACTTGAGCTTTGGTTTTTAGCAGTTATATCCTGAGAATCCATTTGCTGTCAAAATTTTATTAAAATAAATAAAAGTTTGCCTAGCACATTATGAAAATTCTTGAAAGCCCATATCACGATTAACAAAAAATACGTAGATGTTGACTTAAAAGCATACTTCTCTTGCTAGAAGAGGCCACCCTAAGCTTTCATTTGGTGTACTTTTTTAAAGCAAATCAGCCGTTAGTCTCCCCATTCAATTTTTCATGTATTTTTTATGCTGGCATTTTGTCCCTTTCTTTCTTTTTCTTCTTTTTTAGCTGCTTGATAACATTGTTTTTCTTTTGTCTTTTTCTTTAAGGGCTTTTGACTAGCCTTCATTCTTAACATATTTAATGAAAACGTTGAGCATAGTCTAAAATGACTAAGAACTACTGTACCGTTCTGTCATATCCCTTCTCCCTTTCTAGCATGATTGGAGTGCCATTTTTGTGATGCCAGCTAGAGTGGCTTAAACATACAAAACTGCTTTCTCTGCTTCTCTATTCAAAGCAGCTATTAAATGAAGACTTTTGCTAGTCTTTTTATTTCAGCTTTGGTGCTTGGTCAGGATTGCTTAAAAGCCACTTGGTACAAAAATTTCTGTCTAGCAACACAGCCTCCTTCCCTCCTCCCTGCTTCCTAATAAGCAGCATTTTTATTCTCACTGCTTTTAAATACACAAATATTGGCACATTTTAAACATATTTCTGTAAAATGCTTAAGTAATCACTACATGAGAACAACTTTAGATAAATACCTGTGCAGTCAAGATATGCTTTCCAAATAAAATTACTTTAGAGCCTTATGTTATAAAGAAGCCGCTTCTGGGAGATTGGTCACTTTGATTTAAAAAACGTTCTGAAACTCTAGCTACTACTGTTGTGTTTTTTTTTTTTACATGAGTCTTTGATATAATTTGATTTTCAAATGGTTTCAACTTCTTTTGACAGAGGCGCAATAAGAAATGCTTGCCAGATGTTAATGATTTTAGGCCTTGAAGGACGATCCGTCTATGAAGAAGATTTTGAGGCTCCTTTTTTGGAAATGTCTGCAGAATTTTTTCAGGTAATCAGTGAAGATATAAATAGTGCTCTTTTAAGATGTTCTTAAAGTTACTGAATGTGGTTATTAATTTGAATATCTTGACCTTTTTTTACTGAGGGAGAGGAGTGTGCAAAAACATGCTTCAGCATAACTACCCACATTCTCACATTTCAGTGAAGGAACTCATTGAAAACAAATGGAAGAGTTTGAACTTAAGACACATTGTTTTTTATCTTATAAAACATATAAACTTAGACATAACTAACATTTTATTATATTTATATGTTGCAAATTATTTACCACGAGTTAATAGGCAGTGCATCACTGAAGAAGTCGCACTGTTCAGTAACTAGCAAAATAAATGTAGAAATACCCATGGTCCCATAGTGCATATGTCTTACAGACTGTTTATTGGGAAATTATAGGTCAGTAAGTACAGCTGATGCAAATTTGTGGCAGTATATACAACCCAAACACCAACTGAAAAGACAGTATTTATAAAGTAATAGTAACCAGGGTTTATCAGGATGGTCTCACCAAGATTTTTGTTTGGTTTGTTAGTTCTTAGAAACTTCATATTTTCTAGGATTAAAACTACTTTTTGTTAGGGTAAGAAGTGTTAACTAAATTTGTACATAGTTCACATCAGTGTATCTTTTATTATGTAATTCTTAGATATGTTCATTAATCCTACTTTCAAATAGGTTTAAATCATTTGGGTTAACGTTGGTAATTTAGTAGAACTTCTGTAAGGCTGGTGTTAGCAGACAAGCTTAATACTTAAAAGCTCTATTTCTCCAACTTCAGTATATATACTCCTTTGAGACTGGGAGTGGGGTGGCAGGAGGATGTTGGTATGTAGGAGTACTCCAGCAAAACTCGGTGATGAACATGATGGATCTTTCTAGGCATAATTTTACATTAAAACAGATCAAAGAAGAAGTTGCCACTCTCACTTGGAGTCAGGTGCTGTATTCTGGCATGTGTTTACTTCTGCTATTAGGAGTGCACTGGCTGGCATTTAAAACACTGCTTAAGGATAGGGTATTCATTTGGTCTTGGGTAAGTGATGCCTTTTAAAGGATATATATAACTCAGACTATATGAACATGTGTAATAAACTAAAATATTAATAATGCTTATGATACTTAATTTGGTTTGTGATAAACACTACAGAAACCTAGTTAAAAGCAGAAACACATTTTGGTTTTATGTTTTTAAAGAATCATGCTTCTTATTTGCAGATGGAAAGCCAGAAATTTTTAGCAGAAAACAGTGCTTCAGTATATATAAAGAAAGTAGAAGCTAGAATTAATGAAGAAATAGAACGAGTGATGCACTGCCTTGACAAATCAACTGAAGAGCCGATTGTAAAGGTGGTTGAGAGGGAACTCATTTCCAAGCACATGAAAACTATAGTAGAAATGGAGAATTCTGGGCTAGTACATATGTTAAAAAATGGAAAGACAGAAGGTAAGTCTTAGCAGTTGAAAAACAGTTAAATTCTTATAGTTCTACCAATTATTCAGTAATTTTTTTATTTTCCTATAATTAAAATAGGTTACAATGTCAGTTTTCAAGAAGTTGTGTATGTCTAGCATTAGTTTGTTATTTGTTACTTTGATGGTATTTCATAGTAAAACTTTATAATAATGAGGATTTTAGATGTTTCTGGTGAATCAAATGGCTTTTTTTTTCTGTCTTTCATCTTAAGTCTCCTCAGTTTGTGTTTTTCTTAACCCAGAAGCTAAATCTAATATTGGTGAGGCCAGAGAGCTTCTCATCTATTCCTGAACTTTGGTGTTATATATACGAAAGGGTTTGGACTCTGTTCCCATATAGTGTCCTGTAGTTTTTGTGATTCTTTTAAAATCCGAAGTTCCAGACTTACAAGTTTTGTAGGCTCTATTGTCGGAGTCAATTTTGATAAAGGTTCCAAAAAGGCAAAAATGGGTGTCTTTTGTATTGATGTATTTAGATAAATTAGTAAACTGGTTTGGGGGACTTTGAAGTTACAGACTGAAAACAGAGAAGGAGAATTGCATAAAAGTAAATATTTTGAGATAACTGTAGCATTTACTTCTTTTGGCTATTTACCTTTATTTTCCTGAAAACATGTTTTGTGACAAGTATCCTAGAAGAAATAAGTAAACAGTCATGTTTCCCTTATTCTGAATTTCTGAACCTTTGCTGTAAAACTGAGTTTATAAATAAATCGCTGGTATGATATTAAAAAATAAACATGGTACTTTTCTATTTTCCTGCTCGTTGGATGAAGTCTTATTGATATTTTAGCCATTTATTTCTTATAGAAGAAATATGTATTGCCTGTTTGGGGTAATGACCTAGGAAGGGAATGAAAAGAAGAAAATTTAAGTGAATAATTTTCAAGAGAGGAGAATATAAGAGAATGGGAAAGAAAGATGATGAGAAGAGAGGTTGGTCCATGGTTCCTCTCAGGGAACCCTTGCTGTGTGTTCTGAAATGGTTACATATTTCTGCACATGCGATAAGTTCCTGAACAGTTGTACTTTATTGTTTCCATTAAACCCCCAAAGTTAACTTTTTTAAAAGGCCCTTCTGGTAAACCATTTTTGTAAAAGCAAAAAGGCTTAAAATTATTTTTGCTTTATAGAAACAAAAGCATTTTTAAGTATGTTTGCCATGTTTTCTAGAATAAGCTGCTCCTGAAGGTCTTAATCAGGGGTTAGCACACTTTTTCTTGTAAAGGGACACATAGTAAATATTTAGGTGTGTGAGCCATATATGATAGTCCACTACTCCTCTATGCTCTGTGGTATTGAGAAAGTAGACAATACCACAAAAGAATAAGCTTGACTATATTTCTGTAAACTTTCATTTGATTTTCTTTTCAACCACTTAAAAATGTGAAAACCATTTTTAGTCCCTAAGATGTACAAAAAAGACAGTGGGCTGTATTTGTATTTGGCCCATAGACTGCAGTTTGGCCCCTGATCTAAAGGGTCCCTGGCAGATTGGGACATTATGAAAAGTGTTTTCCTCTACTTAAACAGAATGAGAATCAGCCAGCTTTCCAGTGTACTGTTTAGCCACTGTTGAGTCAGTTCTTTCTTACCTACCTTGAAGGTGTGAGAGGGGGAAGATTCAATGGGCTGAAGGTTAGGGGCTATAAAATGTTTGATGGAGAGAGGTGGTTAGTGGTGCCTGAATTACATTATTTCTGTAACCTGCATGGAGACTTGGGTTAATGACATTAACTATGCCTGATACACGGCGAGTGCTCAGTAAGTACATAAATGAAGAAATACCACAGTAGCTACTCACCATAGTTCTCTATTTAGCACTTAATGTTTTCAGCAAGTAAGCAACTTCTGTGATTCAAAATTAAATTGTAAAATCCTGGCTTCAATTTCCTGACTTTCTACTAGAAAACTAATTGTGAAATGTCTTAATTTTGCTAGGCTCTGCTCTTGAGCATTATGTCAAGAATAGGTCAGGGGCACAGCTTCACCATTATGAAGCCAAATGTCTCATAAATCAGAAAGTGAAAACAGTTTTCCCACCATGAATGGAGAATGAACTGGATTGATTATCAGATGCAGATAGTACTGTGAAGTTAAGTTCAAATGGTATCTCGTTTTATTGTTTTATTGTATACAGAAATAATGATATTTAATTTTGGAATGCCAAGTATTTTTTATTTTCTCATTCATATCCTCCACTACACCATACATTTATATATAGTGAAAGCCAATGAAATTGTAGTAATTTACCTACAGTTTAATTTAATATAGCATATAATTCAGGAAAACTGTAATGAAGTAGAAACAAAATAGATATGTTGAAAACCATTTTGTTAAGAGGTATTTGATAATGCCAGATTTACTGGGGTATACGAGGTCTGTCCGGAAAAAGTCCAACCACTGTTAATGTAACTAGAATGGTTTGTGAGACATGAATGTAACCTGGCAGCCAAGAACAGTGATGACTTCACTATTACTAGTCAGTGGGGGTGGTAGACACCATGGAGTGAGCATGTGTACTGTGTGGCCATCGCATTCAAAATGACTGAGTGAGTAGAGCAACAAATCTGCATTAAGCTTGAACAATCCTCTGCGGAAACTGTTCAGATGATTCAGAAGGCCACGGCTATGGGCACCTGGTGATTGACAGCTTCATCATGACAGCATTCCTGCTCTTGCATCACATCTCGTGCAGAATTGTTTGGCGAAACATCAGATCACCCAGGTGACTCATCCCCCCTCCAGCCCAGATGTGGTGCCCTGTGGCTTTTGGTTTTTTTGAAAACTAAAATCACCTTTTAAAAAAGGAAGAGATTTCAGACCATCAAGATTCAAGAAAATATGACAAAGCATCTGATACAGCAGTTGGGAGAACTGTGTGAGGTCCCAAGGAGCCTACTTTGAAGAGTACTGAGGCATCATTGCCCTGTGTACAGTTCTTCTTGTACCTTCAATAAATGTCTCTATTTTTCATATTACATTGCTGGATACTTTCTGGGCAGACCTTGTATGTCTATATTGTTAAATATGTAATACCTGTTTTTAACATGGGAAATTTGGTTTTATATTAAATGTGAGAAAACTATAAGCTTTGTTGTATGTAGATTACTTTGGACATGCATTATTGATGGAAACTTATTTTTAAATAAAATTGGCTTCTGTGAGTTACTGAATAATTTTAGGAGCCCTTTTTGTAAAACTTTTAAGTATTTTTAAAATACATACATCAGTTTTAGGATTTAAATTGCTCTTGTAAATGTATACCAGACTAGTAAATTACAGCTTGTTTGCCAAATATGAGCCACCACCAGTTTGGTTGGGAATTCTTTTTTTAAAGAACAATTTCATTATATATAAAATTATATAAATTTTAGATTTAATAAATAAAGTTTTATTGAAACAGCCATGCCCATTTACCTATGTATCGCCTATGGCTTCTTGCTTGTACACTGGCAAAATTGAATAGCAACAGAGACCATGTGTGGTTCATAGATCTGCAGTATTTTTGTGGTACTTTATAGAAAAGATTTACCAGCCTCTGATCTAGAAACTGTTCTTTTAACTCCATTTTTAAAGTTCTTAATTATAAAGCTTTTTTATGTCATCGTAAAGTTCTGACACTATAGTCTCCCTGTAAGTTCTTATTTCAAAGAAACCCTAGATATGGAAAAGCGTTATTTCAGCTCCACATTTTAATCTTGTGAAAATGATGTAAAAAGTGGACAGAGTCTAAAGTGTTCATTCTAAATAAAAGCAAGATAGCGAGATAGACCAATTTTTAAAAGTACAGATACTGGCTCCGGCTCTAAGACATCACCTGGGGAAGTCTTAGAGATTTGCACTGAGGAAAATATTGAGGAATAGGAATTGATGCTATAAATTTCATTTAAACTTTCCCATGATATGTAATGAAGTAAATCCTAGTATACTTTATTTGTTTTCATGGTTGTTGTTTGAACTTTTGAGATGTCATGCTTAAAAATATCTATAAGACCAGATGTTTTTTTAAATAGCTATAGGACCAAACTTTTTAATTGGTTTTAATGAACATTGACTACAAATTACACCACAATTAAAGTTATCCTTTTGATACATAATTTCTAGTAATATTAGGTTCTAGATTAGAATTATATCGGATCAATTATGCAGAAATTCAAAATTTGTTTTCATTTTTTGTGGCTTTGTTATGTTTTTTGGGCATCTCTTCATGTAAACTAAAATCGCTGAGACATTTTACTGATGCTTTCAGAATGTTTCACCTAAAACACGTATTTTATAAATTGCAATAATAACCATTAATTATCCTGGGTTTTTTTTTCTTTTTTGGAATTTTGCTGGGAGTTTTTTAGTATTTTTTCATGTCAGCAAATGATTATAATGGAGAATTTAGTTTTAAGTATCACAAATTAGCATGAACAGATTCATATTTTTTCTTAATCTTTAATGTAGCCGATTTTTGTGTTCTTTCTGATTGCAGACCTTGCTTGCATGTACAAGTTATTTAGTCGTGTGCCAAATGGTTTGAAAACAATGTGTGAGTGTATGAGTTCCTATTTGAGGGAACAAGGTAAAGCCCTAGTTTCTGAGGAGGGCGAAGGAAAGAATCCCGTTGACTATATCCAGGTAAGTAAATATGGAAGATTCTCTCTAAGTTTATGATAAAGGAATATTGTCAAATGCTATAAAAAGGTCACTTTTACTATGTTATATATTATGTATTTTTTGCTTAATTTTCCCAGTGGTAGACTTAAATATTTTAGAACTTTGCAAAATATGTATATATCTGGGAGCCAGACTAAGCTGCTGCTTCTCATTTATATTCTGTCTGGCAAAGACCCTGTTTAAATAGTCTTAAGAGTGGAAGCTGTTGTTTCACTTTTTTAGATACCTACCTATTCATATACCTTAGTGTGTTAAAAAAATGTGTTAAATACTTTTTGTGTCAAAATGTTTTGCTTTCAAGCAATAGTCTGAATAAATTATGCTCCAAGTTTCTTGTGTTTTAATATAAAGAATGGGCTTTTGAGGTACATTTTTAAAGCTAATTTTCTCAGATTTGCACATTTAATAAGGACAGATGATCAGGAGTAACAAGTGAGGACGTTCTTTGATTCATTGGCAGCAATACATAAATGGAAGATAGAATACTTCTCTAATCACTGACATTTCTAATAGACTTAGATATAAGCTTAAAAATTTAATACTGAATACACACATATCCAGTGAAGTTAAAATTAGCATGCATGTTCATATGTGTATTGTTTCTAGAAAAATAATGTATCTTGACTTTCTGTGTTTTTATTTGGAAGGGCTTGTTGGATCTGAAGAGTAGATTTGATCGCTTCCTCCAGGAATCATTTAATAATGACCGGCTCTTTAAACAAACTATTGCTGGTGACTTTGAGTACTTTCTCAACCTCAACTCCAGGTCCCCTGAATACCTCTCATTATTTATTGATGATAAGTTGAAAAAGGGAGTCAAAGGGGTAAGTATAATATATTTGAAAATACATTAAATTTTACTCGTAGGTAGAAGATTGTGTGTAAACTTAAGAAATCAAGTATAAAGTTAGGAAATTTTGTAGATATAAAAATAAGCATAGCCCTTTGCTGTACTTAGATGTGTGCTGTGGTTTTTGTGAAGGATTGTTTAAGGTATTTGAAATGGCCAGAGGTACTTTGACATTTCACTTAATGTGTAAAAACCAACAGCTACACAGCCTTGGTTCTTGAAGTCTTTAGACCGCGAGGGTTAGATCAGCTCTGGAGATAATAAACTAAAAAACAGTTATCCACAGCACAAAATGTTGTTGCTGTCGTCTGGTTTGGCGGTTTATGAATCAAATAATACTTAGATGTCAAGAATTTGAAGGGCGTAGATAGACTAACTATCAGAAAATAGTTTGAAAACATATACTGAAGCTCAGTTTCAATCCTTTATTTTATGTCTGGGATCTTGGAAGCTAACTGTAGCATAGAAAATCAAATTAAACATATTGTGATCACACATAAATTGGTCTTTTTGACTTCATCTTGGAATTTGTGAGACAAAAGGGAAAGCAACAAATGGCCACAGGTTTTACAGGCTCCTATAACAGAAACAAGCAAAAGGAAGATCAAGAACACAGGATAAAAAAGACACATTTGTTTAATCTTCCATATTTTTAATATAAACTTAATATAATGTGCCACAGTATCATTTTTCCCTTACTTAAAATATAAAGGAAAGGGGGCCTTTTTACTCTTTAAATTCTAACAAATTATTACCTTTCTGTTTGCACAATTTAGATTTTGAATGAGCTAACATGAAAATATCTGTCTTTTGACTATGTATATTCCTGCCTAAGTTACGCAAAGGCATCATAAAATGTTCTTTTTTGCCATTACCATTTTATTTCTTCTGTTCTTTGTCATCCTTTAATCTAGTCATGTATCATTTCAGTGGTAGCCCTCTAGGGCATGGAACTGTACTTCAGCCCCTGCTTAATGCTGCACTAGAATAGGATGTAAGAGTTGTGGTGTGCTGCTGCTGTGTAGAGTAGGGGACACTTCCTCTAATGAAATCACTCCTTCTGACATGGCTCAACTTGATATTTATGTTCATTGTCACAGTGTTGTTTTTAAACTGTTGAGGTGCAGTGCTGTTTTTGTATAACTAAAATTTTGGGATTACTGAATAGCCTTTTAATTGATTTTTCAGCTAACAGAACAAGAAGTAGAAACGATATTGGATAAAGCAATGGTCCTTTTTAGGTTTATGCAAGAAAAAGATGTATTTGAACGCTATTATAAACAACATTTGGCGAGGAGACTTCTCACAAATAAAAGTGTTTCTGATGACTCTGAAAAAAATATGATATCTAAGTTAAAGGTAAGGTGTATATAAGATGCAAGGATGTGCACTTAACGTTTATCACTTGATTAAATGCCAGCAACATCTGATTAGAAAATATTTAATTAATTTAAAATACCTAGTTTATAAATTAATAAAGCTAGAATTTTTTTGCACAGGCTGTCCTTACATTTGTTCAAGTTCTCAGACATTCAGAGTTTGCTGGAATTGATTTATGGAGATCTGGATCGGATTAGTACAAAGGAAACAGTAAAGGGAATATTAGTGTAGAGTTCTGTCACAAAGGTGTGGCCCATAGACTACCTGTTCCTGTATCGCTTGGGGTGCTGGTTAAAAATGCAGAGCTCTGAACCCTGGCTTCAGTGAGGTTGTTGGAATCTCTGAACGAGACCTGAAATCTGCATTTTAAAATCTTTGGTTATTTTTAAACACACTAAAGTTGCGTACCTGTAGTCATAGAGCAACTATTGGGAAGATTTAGAAATGGCGTCAGTAACATGGACTGGTTTATTTCACTGTGTGTGTTCTCATAGAAAAACCAATCACTTATTTGTGTCTATTTGTGGGTTTCTTCCCCAGACTGAATGTGGATGTCAGTTCACATCAAAACTGGAAGGAATGTTTAGGGATATGAGCATCTCAAACACAACCATGGATGAATTCAGGCAACATCTACAGGCAACTGGGGTAAAATTCTCTAATTTCTACTTAAATGTGTATGTTTTAATATGAAGTTTTTTGTAACACGCATTTTTATCTGTAAAATAACTGAACTGGTGTTTTTTTAAATGTTATTGTCAACATGTGTAGTCTGAAACAACATATATTGTCTAAAAACTATTTTTCTCCATATAACCTCTTTTTCTAACGATTAATGTTAATTTTTATTCTTTTAAAACTTAGTTTATCCTCCCCACTTAAAGGAATGTGCTGAAAATGTGATAAATAGCATGATTCTGCTATTATAGTCACTATAGACTGTGGAAAGAATACTGAGCTTAGGCAAGCTTACTGAGTTATAGTTCTCGTCCTTTCACTTTACACCAGCATTGTGCTGTGTCTCTGTTACTTCATATTTAATTGATACTAGATGGGCCTGACATTGCCAGGATCAGTTGGGGATAAGCTGAGTATAGAACACTGACACTAGTGTGTTGTGAGTGTGGTCTGTACTCCGACTCCCAGAGTAGGGATGAGCTGTGACCTGTATGGCTTTGGAATCCAGTGGGGGTTTATGAGGATTTAATAAAGTTCTGAATTTTTTAAACTGTTTTTTAACTTTTCCTTAAGTTTAGAGAACTCCACAGTTTTTCTTTAAAAGTTTTCTCTCTCTAGTGACTTTGTATCACTTGGTAATTGAGACATGTCACAATCATTTAAAAAAAAGTGAGAGCTATTTTTTGATATTTAAATACTAGATTATCCCTTCTATGGTCCTACAGTCTCATAACAAACAAAATATGTGAAAACAGCTGATTCTGTAGAAACGGACAAGTACATATGAAGGCATTCTCACCCAAAGGGATTTGTGGCCCCTCTGCATTTTAAGTAGTTATATAATGATTTCCCTCATAATACCTACAGCAGGGAATGGCTGAGAGCAGGAAGGATACTAGTGTGTGATATATTGAAATCTGTGTGGGCAAGAACTGAATAATGTGATTATCTTAGGGTTGGTTTTGTTTTTGAGGTTTTGTTTGTTTGTTTTTTCCTGACTATTTAGGAATTTGTACTTAATTCTAATATATTGATATGATTACATTTTCATATGATAAAATTTTTTTCTGTTTATTTTTTCCTTCTGCTAATTTTACACATATTGAAAGGTTTGGGGAAATAACCTGGTCTACAAAAACACTACTGAAATCATCTGTAAGGGACTGTTCCTGATGGATCCAGCACCCTTACTATTTTTTAAGTGTCTTACTACCTGTGATAGTTGAAGGCCTTTTGATAGGAAAATCACACTCTCGACTCTTGATGATTCTGCTGCAGTTGTTTCATTTACGGGGTGGGGTGACTGTTCAACATGATGATTTCATCAGATTGTTTGCCTGTTGTTTTCTGTTACGAAGTTTGTGAATTTTCAGATATATCCTTCATTGTGTAATAGAATATTAGCTAATAACTATAGTAAGCAGAGTACTTCTCCAGAGGCTCTGAACTACAGATCTGCTAATTTAGTTGCAGCTCCCATTTACTGAAAGGCCATTATTTGCATGCAGTTACTTTTTTAATTGTTTCTGCTAAGGACCTTAAGCCTTAAGTCTCCTAATCTTTAACCTACTTAGAAAGATTTGATGAAAAAGTGACAAAGTGATCAAATACATCCTAAACTTTCTGAAATCTTTGAGCACTTTTAAAATATCACTAGTCCTCAAGCAGGTGATTCTTGGTAACTTTCTTGACCTGCTGAAATATATCAAGAGAGTGGCTCTTCCATTCACTTTTAGATAAATCTTCTGTATTATACTGAAAGTAACTTAAGTGTTTATTTTTTCCTGTTCTTATTTTTAAAATGTGAATGGGGCAGGAAAACCACCTTGCTATCATATTTCTATTTATTCACAGACTTTCCTGGCACCTCTGCCTCCCTGTACTTGACTCTGTCGTATTCTGTCTTTGGATATAAGCTTGGTGGCCTCAAATAGTGAGGAAAGGAAAATCCTCTGCTGCTACGGAGCTTACTTTCTAATCTGGGAAATAGATGATAAGCAAGATAACTCATAGCACTTTAGCTGGTGATAGAAGACATAGAGGCAGTTGTTGGGGAGCAGGGAAGAGTGGTCAGAGAAGGCTTCTTTTAAAAGTGGCATTAAAAAAAAAAGACTCGAAGGTTAAGTCTGTGTGGGTGTATGAAAGAAGAGAGAGCAGACTTGGGCGGGCTGAACCAACCCCCCCACACCTCCTTGCACAGGTACCGGCAGTTCCCAGCCTCCTCGGTTCGTGTTCATCCTCTCTGCTACCTCGTAGCAGTCTCTGCTGCGGTCAGCTCATCTGTGTGTCGTCTAGGGTTCCCAGTTGTGGTCTCTTTAAACTGGAGTAATCATTTAGTAGATATTTGTGAAGAAATCTGAGTATGGAATACTTCACAATATTTTATGAACTCATCTCTTCCTTTTAGAAATCTATCACTAAATCATTCAAGTTAGATAAAAATGCAATAATGGTTTAGAACAAGCTGTGACTACCAATAAATTCACATTTCAGAAGTTTTTTAATAGGTTTTATTTTTATTTTCTTAAAAATATAATTTGTTTAAAAAGAAGAAAATATCTAATGTGACAGTAATCCTGGCATATATTTTTAGATATAGTCATCTATTATGCAAATACTCATAGAGTACCTACCATGTAAAACTGGATCTAGTGTCCTGTATAGAGGTTGTTAGAATGTGAATTCCATGCAGAAACAGTGTTTCTCAATGTACTTCAAATGTGAATGGGATTGGAATATTTTGTGTGTTAAGATGGTAAAAATACTTAAAAGCTGAGATGAGAGATATTACCCTAGAATTTCCTTTAAAAGTGACTCAGATATGACCCCTTAACCTTTTATCTAAAAAAGCTTCAGGGCCAAAACTTGACATTTCTCAGTGACACCAGTCACCTTTTGTTCACATGTTAACTGTCCTCTGGTCAATATTTTAAAGTCAACATCTTAAGCGATAATTATAAAAACTCACCAGGAGAATTAAAATGTGAAAAGTACTGATTAGTCTGATCTTTAAGAAGATAAGTGTTTTATTTGCTTGATGCGGAGCATGGCCCTGACTGCTCTGATAGCAAACACAGTGTCTGTGTGGAACAGATGCCAAGTCCTCGTGAAGTGTTGGCGACGGCTCTTTCTCCTTCCCGCAGGTGTCTTTGGGCGGTGTCGATCTCACGGTGCGGGTGCTCACAACAGGATACTGGCCCACTCAGTCAGCCACACCGAAGTGCAACATCCCACCAGCACCGAGACATGCTTTTGAGATATTTAGAAGGTAAACATAGATCAGACTTCATATTTCTAAGTAGAGATAACTGTCCAAAATTGAAATAAATACGAGCATTTATAGTGTCCCTGATTGAAAATGAGTATATTCCATTTTTAAAACTGTTGTTCAAAAGGAGAATTTATCCTTTATGGTTTTACTGTGCATTGCATAAATTCTTTTCAGAGGACTATTTGGTTGATGTCCTTCAGCATTAGTGCATGGTTAAGAGTATAGTTTGTATTGTCGATGTCTGCCAGTGACTTGGGACTGATTGATTGTTGAGTTACTATGGAGAACGGTGGTCTTCTAACCACAGGGGCTGAGCAGCAGGCCAGGGGCAAAGGGTACCAGCAGAAATGATTTAGTGCGCTGCCTGTATCTTGTGGTACCTAGCTCACTTAGGTCTGTATTTTTCTCTGTCTGTCCTTCTCTGTGCCCCTCCTTTCCTTTCCTTTCTCTTTATTTTTATTTTTGTTTCCTCTTACGTAGAAAATTAGAACTGGACCTGATTTCTAAGGTTTAACTCTTAATCTTTTAAACTCTCTTTTATATATGTATTTGTTAAGGGTTGTTATCACATAGTTTATATTTTCAAATATGTAAATCGTTTGATTCTCTAAAATCTGGTTTGATTTGCCAAAGGTTTTACTTAGCAAAACACAGTGGTCGACAGCTCACACTCCAGCATCATATGGGCTCTGCAGATCTCAATGCCACTTTCTACGGACCAGTGAAAAAGGTAAATATTGATAGTTTGAACATATATATGTATGTGTGTGTATATATATATAAAGTAACTTAAAATTAGTCTGTAGAATCGATTTGTGATTTCTGTTGATTTGAGTAAATTATTTATTTCTCTTATTTCCCTACCTGTTTCATATACTTAGAAAAGAGAGAACTTTGGCTTTACTTACCTATATTCTCTTAGTTGCTAAATACCTTCATTTGACAATATGAAGATTATACTAGTATCCTTTCTTAAGGAATAAGTAATAATAACAATTACATACTTTATTTATAAGATCAGTCTTGAGACTGTATTGCATAAAATAAAATTTAAGTTGATTTGAGGGCATGCAAAGCTGTGAGTTCCTTTTCGGAATTCTCAGTCTCCTGTAATCCTTACTATTTGTCAGTAGTCAGAACTGGAAACATTATATCACTTTAGATTTGTGAGATATACAAAATGTTAGTAAAGTGATTATTTGATTATTTAAAACAAGCAAGGGACTAAGCAAGGAACACGTATGAAGTAACTTACTGGGCATGGGCAGCAGGAGTGGGAGTGACTGTGGGGGCGGGGGTGGGCTGGGAGGAGGAGAGCAAAGGGGGGGAAATTGGGACAACTGTAACAGAATAACAATAAAATGTTTAATTAAAAAAAGATAGTCAAACATTTTTAAGAGTAAAATAAAATGAACACTATGCTAGTGAATTGCTTTTGTTTAAAAAAAAATGCAGTTGCACACTGGCTGGGTGGCTTGGTTGGTTGGAGCATCATCCCATACACCAGAAGGTGCATATGGGAGGCAACCAATAGATGTTTCTCCCTCTCCCCCTTCCCCTCCCCTCCCTTATTCCCTTGCCCTTCCCCTCCTTCTCCCTACCCCCTCCCCCTCCAAAATTCTTGGGTGGGTTTTTTGTTTTTGTTTTTTTTTTAAGGAAGGAAAAAGTCACCTTTTTATATCTAAAATTGTGAGATTTAGAATACCTTCATTGCTTGGTATAACTCAAATCAGGGTCATTTGCCTTAAAATAGAAAAGTAATAAAAGGCTTCTATCAAAACATTAAAAAAATATGTAAGTTGTCATGTAGGCAGCAAATAACTGTTTCATTCTGTATTGTAATTAGAATTTTAGTAGTTTTGTATGATACCATTATAACACCAAAGTTTTTTTTTAATATTGTTGAAAATGGCTACGTATATTCTGATTTTTATATCTAACTGAATAATGTTAGAAACTATTGATTACAGGGCAGGGAAAAGTAGGTTTTACAGGTTTTTGGACAGAAAATAGCACAATAATTGATAAATAATAATACAAGAATAAACGTTGTGTTGCACATACTCATAACTGTATACCTACTTTTGCTCCACCGTGTATTTAAGTGTAAATGGGAAGGTCAAGGATACTGAAGAACTCAGCTTTAATTATTGTGTGTTTACATACACACACATATATACAGGCATATACATTTTTAAATAACATTTTCTTTTTGTATAGCAAAAAATTTTGTAGTTTCATAAAGGGTTATTTCTCAAGCATACTGTGAAAGTTACCAAGAGATAACTATATCTACTTTATGTTTTTTAAAACAATGAAACAGGAAGATGGATCTGAAGTTGGTGTTGGAGGGGCACAAGTCACTGGCTCTAACACACGGAAGCACATACTGCAAGTCTCCACCTTCCAGATGACCATATTAATGCTCTTTAATAATAGAGAGAAATACACGTTTGAGGTACGGGTTGGCTGTGTAAATTCTAACCAGTTGTGTTTCTCCTTCTCACATGTTACTTGAGTCTGTCTTATCTGAGTAACCTTTAGAGTCATTATTACTTGAGGATTATTATTTTTTCTACTATTTGAGTAACCTTTGAGTACCATTAGAGGAAACAGCATAAAATTAGATATGTGGAACTAATCATATACTTGTTGGGTCACATTTCATTTGGCTTTTTTAATCAACTTTATTGAAGTATGAGTTTTATGTGGTCAAACATACCCCATTTAAGTGCGTATTTTGATGGAATTTTAACAGATGTGTATACCTATGCAACTGCCATCACAATCTATAGAATATTACTCTCCAAATTTTTTATACTCCTGTGCAGTCAATTCCCTCCCTTTGTACCCATACCCAGGCAGCCAGTGATTTGCTCTGTATCACCATGGGTTAGTTTTGCCTTTATAGCATTTTCCATGAATGGAATACAATACATAATGCTTTTGCAGTGCTTCTTTTACATAGCACGGTGTTTCTTAGATTCATCCATGTTATTCCAAGTAATAGCTACGGTAGTTCATTCCTTTTTATTGCTGAGTGATACTCTGTGGACGCACTACGTTTTCTGTTGATGGGCATTTGAGTTACCAGATTGAGGCTGTTAAAAACAGGGATGTATGTTTAACTTTTTAAGAAGCTACCAAACTGTGTTCCAAAGTGATTGTACCACTTTTCATTCCTGCTCGCAGTGTAAACGAGTCCAGCTCCTCACATACTTACTCTTCAAAATTTGGAATTAGCCATCTTTTTAACATTAGCCATTTTAACCGATGTGTAACTATATCTTACTGTGGATTTTATTTGCCTTTCCTTGATGACTGATGATGTTGAGCATCTTTTATGTGTTCGTGTGCCACTGATGTGTCTTGCTAGGGAGGTTTCCATATCTTGACTGAGTTTCTGGAAGCTCTTTATAAATTCTGCATACAAATTCTTTGTCAGATCTGTGTCCTGTGAATATTTGCTCAGTCTGTCACTTGCCTTTTCAGTTTTTTAGTGGTATGTTTTCAAGAGCAGAATTTTTTAATATTGACAAAAGTCCAAGTTTTTCCCTTTTATAGTTCTGGCTTTCAGTATCCTAAGAAATTATTGACCACCTTGACATTGCAGTGAATGATAAACGCCAATACTTAGTTGTTCATTCCAGCATCATTTGTCTAAAGCAGTAGTCTTTTCTCTTTAGATTATCATGGTACCTTTATTTTAAAAAGCAGCTGACCATACATTTGTGAGTCTGTTTCTGTATTCTCTCACTTGTTTGATTGATTTCAGTGTTTGTCCTTGTGCTAATTTTACACTGTCTTGATACAGTATCAGATTTTTTCTTCCCCATCTTTTCTTTCCATCTTTTCTTTTTTTACAGTGCCTTTTAATATGCTGGCTTTTTTATTACCCTTTTTCTTTCTCTAAATACCTTTAAATAGGTTGGAGTTAAAATGAAGGTCATGTGATTCTTAGTAAACTTAAAATAATGAGCATTTTTAAAGTTACTGCCCTATTTATACTAACGGAGAGGCAGTTTCTAGATATAGGTGAACATAGGAAATAGATTAAGTTTGAAATTAAGAGCAAGATTAAATTTTAGGCCTGTTTTAATATTAATACGCATGTCCATACTTCTGTTTATGTGAAGGGTATAGTTAAGAGATGACCACTTTTATGTGATATTCCTACAGGAAATGTTTTGAAACCTGAGTTTTCTAAGTCAGTGCTTTTGCCCTTACATATTTCCAGGTATGTCTTAACTAGGGAATAACCTTAATTTTCACATACAAGTTATAAATGATCAAGTCCCAACAATGTTGACTGAGCAAATATTGAATACCTTACTCAGACATTGTAAGCCTTTTCAAACAGAGGTAGAATTAAATTGTCTTTAACAGCTTGGATGTTTTAATCTGCACCTGTCCTGGATAATATATTTTAAGCAAAATAAGCTGCTTGGAAAATGCTAGAGTTGGTTTTCAGAGTTCTCATTTATAAAGAACTGACAAAATAATCAGATAAACAAAAACATAAACTCATTTTCTGTAGCTGTTATTGGAATTGCTAGTAATTTTAATGGTCCAAGCTAACTTTTGCCTTTTGAAACCGGTTTGGGGTCATTGATGCTAATGAGCAGTAGGTAGAAAGTAAAATAAAGTAGAAATTCCCTCTCATGCTTTAAATGTTAGTAGCTAAGTCACAAACCAGAAGAAGCCTTAGTAGAAACGGCGTATGAGGGCTGCTGTTGCGGTGACTCCAGCGCCTTCTCACTGGTCACATCGTGATCTGAGGCGTTGCCGGGGGCACGTGCAGTTTGTCCTTGCTCAGAATACACCAGGGGTTTCTCCGTAGTCTGCCACACACATCTTATTGCCAGCTCTCCCGAAATCACCTGTACAAGTTAGAATAGGTAGTTAGTAACTTTAAAAGAAGTTGATCTTTTAATTTTGAATGTTCTTTATGAGTTTGGTAAGATAGTATATTAGTTATGTAATGCTACGTGACAAATCTTAAAACTTAACCACTAACAATTTACTATCTTCCGTGGTTTCGGTGAGTTATGGATTCAGGAAAGGCTTGTTTGGGTGGTTTCTGGCTCGACCGCATGAGGTTGCATTAACATGTCAGCTGGGGCTTCAGGCATCTTGGTTGTTTGGGGCTAGAATATACACTTCTAAGCTACTGGTGTATGCTTCCTTCCATGTGGCTGGCAAGTTCTTTCGGCTTTTGGTAAGAGATCTCCACGTGGGCCTTACCACGTCCTTGAGTTATGGTGGCTGACTCCTTAGAGCAGGCAATCCAGGCAACCCAAGCAGGACCTATAGTGTCTTGGTGACCTAGCCTTGGAAGCCACATATTGCCACTTCTTATTTTCTTGGTCTCCCCAGTCAGCCCTGATACAAGGAGGGAACCACACACGGTTAAAACATACCAAAATTATTACGAGCCATCTTGGAAACTACCTACAAAAAGGTGGCATTTATTTGTAGTTTCACATTTAATTCATAGAAGTCAGGCTACTGTGGCTTTTTCCTCTTCTTGGGTGTGTGTATATTTTTTGAATAGAAGTCTGTATTGTGGTTTAGAACAGCTAGAATAAGGAAGTCTGTACAATGGTATTCTATACCTTCGGCTTTGGTAATTAGCATTTGGTTTTTGAAAGAGCTATGGGTATTAATACACATTTTCTAAATGTTCTTTATTATACTTTTAAATTTTTCTGCGAGTAAGTCTGAAATAATAAAAGCTAATTGTGGACAATAGCAAAATTAATGTCAGTAGAATTTAAATAGCAAGCCATTAGACAACGATGATAATATTTTATCAAGAAGCTACTAACAATTAGTGATATAACCACAATATATAAAAGAAAATGGTTGGAACTATAAGCAGAAAATTTCACCATCATAAAAATTCCTCACATGTACTGACTGACAGACAATAACACAACTGAATAGCACAATTAGCAAATTAAAATGAAAGCTGTGCAGAGGAACTTGAACCCCAAAAGCAGAATACATACCCTGGGAAGCATCTGAGGCCGGCGTAGCCTTAGTGCAGAATTGAGCCCGGAAACCGCAGCAACAGAAAGAGACAGCTCTGTTATCCAAACCAAACGCACACTCAAGTTCAGCAGTATGTTGAGAAAGGAACTTACTGTCCAAATAGGACTTACCCCTGGAGTACAAAGAAGGAATTTATTAACAAATAGTTGCGAGATTTTGTAATAATAACAACGGGAATAATTGACTGACCACTTGTTGTATTGCCAGATACCACTTCAAGGAGAAAATCAGTGAATGATTTCTACAGGTGTACAGAAAGCATTTGATAAAAGTCAGTCCCCATCCCTTACAATCCAGGATGGAGGGACTCTTGGCCACCTAAGAATGGAATGAAATACCTGTCCTTAATGTCTTACGGGTGTATCCAGTGAGAGACCTAAGCAAGCAGTAGTTAGTATTAAAATATTAGCTATCTTCCCATTAAAGTCAGAAACAAGTTAGGATACCTACCTTTACTACTGCTCCCAGTTTTGGGCCCAACAGATGGACAAGACAAAAAGAAAATGGAGGGTAGAGAGAATGGTTACTCTTAGACTGTGATAAAGATAGACAGTTAAGCAACTTGAAAGGTACTTTGTCAGATATAATTATAACTTAGAGAAACCAAGTACACATCTGGAAATATGCTTCAGAAAACCTGGCTTTTGTATGAAATGCATGGTTCACAAAATGAAGTACAGTCTCAGTCTTCATTTATATCGTGTTAGAGCAGTACTATGGAATTCCCTGTAGCTTTAAATTCTCTGATGACATGGAAAATCTCCAAGAAATTAGTAGGAGAATTCATACGGTGTGGTCCCACTTACATTTAACAGTAATACTTACATAGATGGCATGTTCATGTGCATACATGTATATGTGTGTTTCTATTCATGTGTATGTATGTAGCTGTACAGAAAAAAGACATAGAAGAATACATATTGGATTGCAGTGGTTATCTCTGGTGATGATCTGCAATTGTGCTATCACCTAAGACTATTTCTAGTTCTTTGAATATAATTAAGCAATAAAGTATATAAATAAGTCCATTTTAGCGTCTCTACATAATAATTATAATCAACATTCTAATAACAACACCTGTTTGATTCACCGGGGTTAACATGTATAATATTTGCAACGCCTAAAATAGGTGGACATAACCAGAGATCATTTCAAGCATATGAATATACATCATCACTAAAATTCACGTTTTTCTGAATCCTCACTTAACCAGACAGTCATTTAGAAAAAAACTACACTTGCTCACGGACTCTTGTGAAAAGCAGGCTGACCCTCTCATGTTAGTTACATAATCCGAGCATAACCGTCTTCATACCCACCTTACTGTGCTACTTTTGAGAAAGAAACAGCTGTATACAGTGAATCAAAATGATGTAACCCTGTGTGCAGACTTGTTGCATCATACATCCATCTAGTTGTGTAGGGACTAAACCATATCTGTGTACAATTATCTATTGTCCCACTGACATAAGATTATAATGAATTTAAAAGTTATCCAGTTGACCCCTAAATAAGGTAGAATGTAGGGTCCCAGTACCTGCACACACTCAGTTGAAAATCCACATACAACTTTTAACTCTACAGTCATTGGCCCCTTGCATCCATCCCTAGATTCAGCCACGATTGTAAAACGGTCATTAGGAATCCAAAAATACCCTTTCCCATGCAAGGTTGGTTAAGTCTGTGGATGTGAAAGCCACGGATGTGAAGGGTTGACTGTTTTTACTGAGAAACATGTACAGTGTACCCACGTAGTTCAAACCCACGTTGTTCAAGGGTCAGCAACACATTAATTTTTCCCTGAGCTGCTTTTATTGTCTTTTATTTATCTCATAATATGTAGCAACAGTTATCACCTGCACTTGAAAACAGATTGCTTCTCATATTTAGTGTTAATTGCCAGCTATTTGATTTTTTTATTTGGTCATACAGACAATAGATAGGGTCACCTTGGACTATAAATTCTGATTGCATGATAGAAGGCCTTAGTTCAAGCTTACATTGCCTCTCTCTGCAAACGAAATCGCTAAGCGGAAGAGTAGTGTGTGTCAACTCCCTTCCCAAGTGTGGGAAGGAAGATTGTAGAGTATGTCTAAAACTAGCAATTATGTGTTGATTAGCACTTTGTTTTTTATTTAAATATTAAAACAGGTCCCTAATATTCTCTGCTGGGTGACGTTTTTAGATCAGGCCTTATATTTCCTGAAACAAAAAAGTACATATATGTTCAATATTTTGTCATTTGAGTCACTGTTTTTCTCTGGTTTATTCAAATAGTGAGATTTTAGTGAAGCATCATAATAGTCGTGGAATTCTTGGTTATAAATTATTACTTTAAGGGAATTACATCTCTAACCTCTGTTTGGTCAGTTTTACTTACTAATTAATATGCTTTAATCTTTCAAAAACTATAATTATGTCCATCCGATGAAATTTCAGGAAATTCAACAAGAAACGGATATCCCCGAGCGAGAACTTGTTAGAGCGCTGCAGTCCCTCGCCTGCGGCAAACCCACACAGCGGGTTCTCACCAAGGAGCCCAAGTCCAAGGAAATCGAAAATGGCCACATCTTCACCGTCAACGATCAGTTCACATCCAAGCTGCACAGGGTCAAGATTCAGACAGGTACTAGAGTTTTTCTCCTGAAACAAATTACAGTTTTTTTCTCTAAAAATTCTTATCAGTTTGATTTTTATCCTTTAAAAAATCTTTTCTGGTGCTGCATGAGACATAGGCTTGAGAAATAAAACGGCTTTTATTGATATGTGTTCCTGTCAAAACGCAGTTGAGTCCAAGCACTTTAAAAAGTAATGCGGCATGGCGATTGTGTTACTTATTTCCATAGGTTTTAATGCATGGAGTACAATTTTATCCACATGCTGCTATTTATAAAGTGACTCTTTTTATCTGGTTAACTAATGATAGTGGACATTTGCCTTTAAAACTGATTTATACATTTTTCAAAATTGGGAATTATCTAAAGTTTGATCTTAGATGCAACTATTTATATTTTGATGAATATTTTTAAGTTTGAAAATCTTAAAACTCCTAATTTCTTTCTTTAAAACATATAAGTGTCCCTGTTGTGAACAATTTTTAGTACGACCTTTATTAACAAAGTTAATAAACATTCTATTTATTGTATATTTAACATGATGTAAGATGTGTGTTTTCTGTGCATTTAAAGAGAAAAAAGGCGCTCCACCTTTGTTGACACTTAAACGCTAATGTAGTTTTAAACTTGGTCTTAAAGCTGGTATTAGAAAGTTTTCCAGTACTGATTTGTTTATTATAGCAGATATGTCTTGTGGTAAAACTTTTTAAAATAAGATAAGATAGTGACTGCAGTTTTTTTACTTAAGAAATTGTATTTATGTTGTATGTTAGTAAAAGATAGTCTTTTAAAAATTATTTTAATTCTAAATATACAATCAGTTGCCAGAGCACATTGATTCAAGAACACAGTAGACACACTTATGTTTCCCTTTTTGACCCTGATTGGACCCGTGTGCTTTGTGAAGCTGGGTGGTGTATTTCTGTTAAAGCCTTGACTACACTGTTCCATAGTTGAAAATGGTATCATTGTATCTTCATCATCAAAATTGACCCCATATCTTTGGGACACGGATGTAGATTAAAAATAAAACAGAGCTGTTCTAGTGAGTCATGGGAAAAAATGTCTTTTTTCCCCTGGTGTGAGACGTACGAGTTTGTAGTTTTGGACAGATACAGGTGTGGGGTTGCAGGACTTACTGTGTGTGATGTGCACCCACGTTTTTGGGCCACACTTTCAGGAAAAACAACCTTTGGTTTCAATTTTTAATTCAATCTTTTATTTATTTATATTTAGATACTTGTTTTCTGTATTATAAAGGAATTTTAACATTTATTTTTTAACATACAAAAAATTTTATGTAACAAATAATTACAAAACACAAGAACAGATAAAAGGTTTTTTAGGCACTACCCATGTATAATGTGCATCCTTTTTTTTTCCCTTAAAAATTTGGGTGAAAAGGTCTGCATTATACATGGCAAAATACGGTGTTTGTATCCTAGATTTGGGGGAAAATGTATGATGACATAAATCTGAATTTTAGTCTCATGCTGCTTTACCCTAAATAAAATCTTTGTAATCATAGATTCCATCATGCTCAGCAATAATATTGTGCAGTATTATTATTATTATTATCAAAAAAATAGCCATGGCTAGTATGGCTCAGTGGATTGAATGCCATCTTGCGAACTTAAAGGTTTCCCGTTCGATTCCTAGTCAAGGCACTTGTGAGCCAGGTCCCTAGTTGGGGGCCATGCAAGAGGCAAGCGATAGATGTTTCTCTTACACATTGTTGTTCCTCCCTCTCTTTCTCCCTCCTTTCCCCTCTCTCTAGAAATAAATAAATAAATAAAATCTTTTTTTTTTTTTTAAGCTTTAAAAAACTGTTGATGGATTTTTAATTTTTGGTGTTATATGTGTGTAGTGTTTTAGATCTTATTAAAATAGGAATATAGTTATATATGATGAAAAATTTGGCATGATCTGGATTTCTTTTAAGCTATAAATTCTGTAAAGAAATACTATTTTTCATTTTGGAGTGGTACTTAGATTAGCTTGGCTCTTGCTGGTATTTTGTGTAAGTTAAAATTTTCTCTCTGTTACAAGTATTTTGACCACATAGGCTTTCTTAAGTTGTCAAAATACCTATTGTTATTAAATACTTAGAATCATAATCAAATATGCACTCAGAAATTCTGGCCATACCTATTTATGCTGCTTTTTACTGTAGTTTGTAATAGAAATTTAAGCAAAGAAGTTAAAAATACTACCTAATACAACCTTTGGAAAGAACTAGATTTGTTGTAATTTGCAGCAGTTTCCATAGTTGGTAGATTCTTCCACCACCGCCACTTGCCTTCTGCCTCCGTTCCCCGCTTACGTCCATATACGTGGGCGCCCACTTACACAAGCAGATACCTTCGTTGTGCTTTTCAAGTGCAGAGCGTTGCGCTGGGCTCTAGGAGTAAGCCCTGCCCTCGTGGTTTTACAAAATCATGGTTCAGTTTGTATCACCACAGTATTCACATTTATTTTGGAGTATACCTATTTAGGTGACCAATCTAGATGAATCACATGGGTTGTTTAAAATATTTCTTTCCCTCTATCTCTTTTTAAAAAATATTTTCAGATCTGCAGAAATGGTGAAAACACACAGTGGACATTGTCATCACATGTATTTACAGGTCACTAAGGATTTGCCCCACTTGCTTGGGCACCCTTGCCTCCGTCCTTCCCCTCTCCCCCCATCCAGGTGTATACGTGCTCCAGCATTTTAAAATTCATTTGCAGACGTCGTAACACTTCTCTCCAAGTACTTCAGCAAACATTCATCCTTAGAACAAGATATTTTCCCCCAGAATTGTAATAATAGTTCAAACTTGATAAAATTAGTAACATCATACAACTACATACCGCCTGTGTTTGTATGTCTGCAGTTGTATCAGAAATGCCTTTCATACCTTACTTTTTGGATCCAGGATTCAATCAAGTTTTTCACATTAAATTGATTTAAAGCAATGCCTGTCTCTTTTAATGACATTGAGTTTTTTGAGGAATAACATTATTCTGTCTCAGCAGACCATTTAAATCTAACCTTTTTTAAGATTGATTAAATTGGGGAGACACTGAAAGCAGAATTCTTAACCAAGGGATTGTAGTGAGAAACAGCTAGGTGGATCAGTTCCCTGGGATGGTCTTATAAATCGTGCAGTCTGCTGTCTCTTGGGGGTGCCCACGCCTGAGGCAGCAGTGTCCCATGTGGCTCTTTGTGGTTTTCCAATTTCTGCTAACCAGTAAACCAAAATTTAGTTACCACTTTTCTTTCTCTTCCTCTTCAATTAGGGCAAGGTTGTAGGAGAAAGAAACTTCTATATTTAATTCCTTAGCAATTGACTTGGAAGTCTATAGAAAGTAACAGTAAGACTTCTCCTAAAGATTAGAATATAGTGTATTTAGTGACAGTGAGATTGTGAAATAAATAAGGTAATAAGATATATGACAAGAAATTGTTAGATAACTGGTGAGAGGTACAAATAAATGAATTGTTACAGAGTTTGCTTAATTGACATTCTAGCGATACTTTCTAGTTATTTATTGACCAAACTAAATCTCAGCAGTACATGCCCTACCTTCCTCTTTAAGCATTAGGCAGACAGTAGAGCCACATTTTGAATTGGTAAGACATCAGGTATTTGTTTACCTGAGATACTTGTGAGGTTTAACCTAGCCTTGAGGTGGTGAAATAGTAGTTGACCTGCTGAACTCACAAGCAACGAAACTGACTAATAAATAATAATCTATTTAGCTACCTTTCTTTTTCAAGAAAAGAATCATTGTATAAAAATAAGAATATAATCTCTTTTACTGTACTCTCTATAAAAACAAATTCCTAGTATTTAAAAGGAATAATTTAGAATTGCAGAATTTTTATGTTACTGCTTGTTACTTAAACTTTTTTTTTAAGATTTTGTTTATTTTTTTTAGAGAGGGAAGGGAAAGGGGGGGGGGAGAGAGAGAGAGAGAGAGAGAGAGACATCAATGTGCGGTTGCTGGGGGCTGTGGTCTGCAACCCAGGCATGTGCCCTGACTGGGAATCAAACCTGCGACACTTTGGTTTGCAGCCAGTACTCAATCCACTGAGCTACTCCAGCCAGGGCGCTAAATATTTATTAAACACTGAATTAGGCACTTCTTGGACGTTTACTTGGAATGAGCATATATGTAGACTTAGGTTGAAATCGGTTTTTCCCAGTGGACATTACTAATTTGTACTGTTTATAAACCACATTTTTTCCCCATTACATTTGAAACTACATGATAATCACGTAAGTGTCTTTCTCTTTTAGTTGCTGCCAAACAAGGTGAGTCTGACCCAGAAAGGAAAGAAACAAGACAGAAAGTAGACGACGACAGAAAACACGAGATAGAGGCGGCCATCGTGCGGATAATGAAATCTAGAAAGAAGATGCAGCACAACGTGCTAGTGGCAGAGGTGAGGGCACTGGCAGTGCGCGAGTGTGGGACAGGGGCAGCTTAGCGGTGGGGATTTAGGGCAGTGCTGTATTCGGCTGATTTAAGATACAATTTTAAATTAGGAAACTACAGTCAGGTGATACTTATTAAAAGCATGACAATACTGCTATGATAATTTAAACATAGCAGTACATCGAAATAGGTGCATACTTTAAAAACATGTTTGTAATGAAAATCCTAGAATATTGTCACAGGAAGAATAAACAGTTTTCAGTGCTATTTAATACCTTTGTGTAAAACGACCTTATTGTCGAAAGATAACTGTTAACATTTATTGAGTGTTTACATACTGCAAATTCAAAAATCATGGAATAACCAAATCAAATAAATAATTAAGACGTGTGGGCAATTAGGTGACTGGTTAGTTTCCCAGGCACTTCGCTGGGCTGGGCACTTCGCTGGTACGAGTGGGTTTTGATGGCAGTGCCTTGAGAAGGAAACGGAGGTGCAGTGTGAGAGCAGCGTGTCCTCTGTGGCGTGGGCGCATGGGAAGAGGCCGAGAGCAGTGCTTCGGGACTGAGGGTCGAGTTGAGGGGCTCTGGACTTCATACTCCTGGAAGGGAAGATACTGAGCGTGTTTATATACTGAGGATAAAAAATGGATGCTTAAAAACAAAAGGGGAGAAGATGAAGTGAGGGCATAATTGAGGTACCAAAGTGAGGGGAACGACAAGAGGGCTGTACAGAGAGGGCGCAGGAGGATGGTAGGTGCGTTCACAGGGATGTTACTGAACATTCTTCTTCCAGAGAGTCCAGGGCACGGGGCAGGGGTGCATGTTAGCAAGGGATGGACACAGATATGACTGAATGTGTCAGGTGGTGGGAGTTGGAGGAATTTCAAACTGAAATAGCCTCTTCTCCCTATGTAAAACAGGATGCCAAGTTACTGTCCTCAGAAACTTGTGGAACTTGAGTACTATGAATTTGTGTATCGCTTCTGGGCATTTTGGCTAAAATTGTAATTTTTGTTAACAGTCTCTTTTAGAGACTGGCAGATAGGGATGGGGTGTGTGGGTGGGTGGGTATGTTGTTTTTATAACCATTTGTAGCATGGAAGTAGCCATAGATAACAAGTGGGTTGGCAGTGTGTTCTAGTAAGAATTAAGAAAACAGGCAGTGGGGGTGTATTGGGCCTGTGGGTGCAGTTTGCTGACTCCTGGTCTGCGTGCAAGGTATGACAAACCACAACTTTACTCAGTTACTCAGCAGGGAGCTCAGTAGTAGATTTTGAATGATGTCAGGAATGTAGAAAAGGTGTTTATGGGATAGAAACAGGAATCTGGGAGTTGTGGGTACTGTTGAGTGTGTGCTGAAATGATCCTTGTGTACAGCCTGCTGTCATCAAAAGTTATTCCTAGCTTAGAAGAAAGGGTCAGAGGATTAGAGGTCTCAGGTGGGTTGAGAACAAGTTTGTTGACAATGGGATGATAATACTAGAAGGATGGTAGATTTTAGTTGGAGGGTGGAGTGCTGGAGTGTCAGACTTCAAAGAATTTTCAGTTTGTTGTGGCCTTGGAAAATGAGCTAAAGGAGAGGAAAAGGAGAGGAAAAGCAGGCTTGCGGATGGATGCTCTGCGAGAGGCTGTGGGCTCATGGGGAGAGTGTGGGCTGGCGGCAGCAAGGTTCAGATTCTCATCTCTGACTGCTGGCGCTCTCTACTGTGTTGATGTCAGTTTTCTGCTCTGGCATGTTATCCTCATTTGTAAAAGTTAGACGCCTCCTCTATGGGGCTAAGAGCACTAAATAAATTAATACATGAAATGACCGATACATAGTGCACAGTCAGGCTTTGGCTGCTGCCTTAGTTACTGTCTTCTTATAACTGATGTCACAATACTTAGAATCCTGACAGTTGGAGGAAAGAATGGCAACTGTAGCACTTAACTGTGCAATGGGCACTGTTATAAAAGCGTCCCGTCTGTTAACTCATTTAGTACACCCAGCAGCTTGATGAGGCTGCATGACTTCCCCGGAGTCCTAGAGCCGCCAGGGAGTGGGAGAGTGGCTCTGAGTCCAGGCAGTTGGCGTCCACAGTTTGCTCTTACACACATCATGCTGTGCTCCCCAGATTCGGTGAAGTGGGGGGGCACCCCAAAGTCAAAACGATTGAAGTGTAATTGGTATACACTCATACTGATACATTCCAAACAATCATAATCTACTCTAGTGTTCACCTGCTGATGTGAGGAGGCGTGTTTTAACCATGCATTACGTCTTCAAATAAAACCTTTTAAAACTTCTGGCACTTTCAGCTTGGGTAATCAACTTGGTAAAGTTTGATTTGAGTCTTAAAATGGCACATCAGTTGTATTCAAAGGGACACATTTTTGTGTTAGTATGGAAATGGTAACATTTTTAGAATTTGCTGGTGAATAATAGTTTTTTTTTACCCTTCTGTTTTAGGTAACTCAGCAGTTAAAGGCTCGATTCTTACCAAGTCCAGTCGTTATTAAGAAGCGTATTGAAGGACTTATTGAGAGAGAATACTTGGCACGAACACCTGAAGATCGCAAAGTATACACATATGTAGCATAAAATGCGTTCAGAAATTTGATTTATTCTTGGACTGACTGTACCCTTCGCATGGACTGGGAAGTTCTTTTAAATCATTAAATATTAAGACGACCATCTCTTCTATTAAATTACATGTTCTAGACCATTCAGATCAAGCCTTTACTCCCTTTGAGAGTTTTCAACATCAGTTGATTGAGCTTCAGGCTTTACAACGTTTACCCCTGTAGAGATCATCTTTACATCTCCTCGGGAAAATGTGAATGTGCCGCGTTTTGTTTTCAATACTGTATGAAAACAGGAAAAAATAAAACAAAAATTTAGAAAATGCAGCTCATTAAAATAAAATTGTTGGATTTCATTTCCCCAGGTCTTCAGTGTTGATGTAAATGTGTTTTGTAGTGTTGCTTAGCACTTTGCGCATTGTATAAGTGGGGTAACGGAAATGGTAAAAGAAATGACATGATTCCCAATTATCTTGCTCTGCTTAAGGCATTTCTTTAGCTAGGCTTGTTTAATTTAAAGGTTCGATAAATAGACAAAGACCCAAGCATACAATTTGAGCATGCTTTATTCTACCACTTGCACTTACTAATCTTACAGCCTTATGACCAGGAACCTTTGTTTTGGGCTCAGTAGACACCCTGATTTGGTTTTTCCCTATTGTAATTTGAGATTTCCCAAATTAACTCTCATAATAATTAGGTTTTGTTCTGCATTATCACTAGAGAAAGAAAATATTTTAGTATGTATAAATTGTACAATAATTTTTTGCTGTTGTACTCACTGCTAATAGTGGATTGTATAGGGCAGTGTTTTTATTTCATTTATTGTTGACAAAAATAAATGAATTTAGCATACACATACCCACTAATTCAAGTATGTCAGAGCACAACATTGGCAGCTGGTTATATTTAATTCAGCCCCTTTGAAAAGCACATATGGTCTACACTTTGTTTATAAAATATTGTAGGTTCCCCCTCTCTTAAATATATATATTTTGGTGAAGCTAGGGTGCATGTTAATTTTCTGTTTGGAAATGCATTTTAAAGATGCAATAAATATGATTATCTTGATATTTTTTAACAAGATCTTCAGTTCTTGCAGCTAACCGTGTTTTGGAAAGTGATTAAGCAATATTTTTCAAACCTGATGATTCTTGGATATTTAACTATTGTCCTCCAAAGAGTATCATTTCATGTTTTTAAAGATGTGCTTTGTGCTGAAGATTGTCTCGGTTATCCTGTGCTTCCAACTTCCACCAATGTTTTTTACCTGATTGATCTGCCAAGGATTATAGTTTGCTTTATTTTTAATACCTTCAGAGTATTTTTATCTTCAACTTTATTTAATTTTGTTTCATTTGTTTTCATAAGACATTGTTTCAGATATGTAATTGGGGCAAACCACTATAGATTTCTATTGGATAGAGAAATGATATGTTACTAAGAAGTTCAAATAACCAACCCTTCGTTGACTATCAGTACTGTTGATACCTTTATTAGAATGTATGTCTCAGAAGATGGTTTCTGTTTCAGTTTATGGTCAAGTTACAACAGTTGAATTCTAATATGGATTAAAAACTCCATATAAATCTTTTCCCCCCTGCGTCTTGGGTTATAATTTTCCTTCTAGACTTGCAGATGCGCTCTTACCGCATTGAGTTTTTGTCTTCATTTGTACTGTAGAATTACAAACTGGATGCTCTCAGTCTGCGTTTTCCACTTGCACACGATGCAACCAAGATACAAATGGAAACTGTCACGAACATCAGTCTCAGGTTATCTTCATCAGACTTAAGCGATAAGAGGTCAGACGTGACGGGAAAGCTGGAGGTTTTCACCTTCTTATTTTTACGTGATTGGAATTTCTGTGTTAGAAATCTACAGGAAGACAGTGGTATTTTGGATTTCAGAATTATTTTATTGCTCTCAATTCCCATTTACGTGGTAGCACCCTGGGAATTAGAATAACTCAGTTGGCACATTAATAAATACGAAGAATGTAAAAACCTCACTTGAAATCTACATGAGACATTAAAAGGAAAAGTTAAGTGCTAGTTTAAAGTATTAAAAATCAGTAAATTGAAATTTATGTCATTGTCTCAAGTGTGGACATACAGATCAAATCTAGAGTTTAGAAACATACCTGTCAGTTTTGGAGCACAAGTTTCATATTTATGCTTCAAAGTGCTTCTGTGTAAATGAAAACATTTCTGACTCGCAGTTGAGTGGACTGGCTGGAGAATGCAGCCGTTCGCGCCGAGGTGCGTTGCTCTCGATGGCAGTCAAGTTGAGTGATCGCAGAACGACGCGTTGAGAAGCAGTGGGGTCACCTCACACGCATATGTGTTTTAGCTCATAAGTATTATTTAGGCTTGTAATCTGTTTTGACGTTGCTTTCTTTTTAGCAAGAAGTCATTCATGCTATTTTCAGGGGTTTTTTCTTTTTAAGATTGTATTTATTTTCAGAGAGAGGGGAAGGAAGGGAGAAAAAAAGAGGGAGAGAAACACCGATCAGTTGCCTCTCACACATCCCCAACCCAGGGACCTGGCCCCCAGCCCAGACATGTGCCCTGGCAGGGAATTGAACAGTGACCTTTTGCTTTGCAGAACAGTGCCCAACCCCACTGAGCCACGCCGGTCAGGGCAATTTTTTTTTCTGTTTTTTAATGTCTTAATTTCAAAGAATAATGCATTTGAAACATTTATTTAATCCTGTTGATGTGAATACATTTTGGTGACTTATACTTGAAGAAATTTAAGGAGGGTGGATAGTAGTTTTCCAACTGCAAAAATGATGTAACCTTTGTTCACTTGTTAAATTGTAATGCTCTGATATCATTAAGTCCAGGACAGTGTTTACTTTGAATTGTTACACAGTTATTTAAAGATTGAAAATTCGTTGCAATTAGGGAACACAGCCTCACAAAATAAAATGTGGTGATTGCAAGGATTCTTTATGTTGGTGAATTTTAAAAGGGGGTGGGGGAAGGGATGCACGTCTCTCTAAAGGATGTGTTAGTCACCTGTGCAGCGTCATGTGCCAGACATGTTCCACTCCCAGGCCCCCAAGGTGCTGATGGCCTTCTCAGTAAGGATCCTTGTCCTGGTAAAGCGCTGTTGATGTTCTATGCCCTCATAATTTAATGAAATTGTCAAATTTCAGTACCCAGATAAGAACGTACCGTCCAAATAATACCCAGAACTTTATATAAGAATTCTTGCAGTGTGGGGATAAATCAGAATTCTCTCAAAATTCTTTCTGCAGCTGTGATACTTAAATGCCTCAGCACAATGTCTGGCATGTGGTGGGCGTAGGCACTCAGTAAATCTCAGAAGAATGTGCCGAATGATCACGAAATGTCTCGGAAGAAAGTCTTCATCGAACTTGATAAATTAAAATTTGCCCTGCATTATTGGAAGTATGACAAGGAATATGATACAAGGATTATCTTTTTACTCATTATGTGGGAACTGTTTGATGTTCAGTTTCCCACTAGTTAAAAAGTAGACAATGTAGGCCAACTGCAGTGTTGCAGACAGCACCAAATGCTGATTGTAAAGCTCTCTTGAGACAGGCATCCCGTGGAAAACATTCAGACTTAACTGCTATACAGACTCACTCAAGACCCCACACATAGTGGGCTATAGGAGTTGGGGTCCAATTCCTTCTGATTTTGAAACCTGTATTTTTAATGAGTGTTAATGTGTCCATAGTTTTGGCAGATTCTGGACAGAATTTGATCAGTTGAATTTGGATCTGAAAGTAAATTCTCTTGGTGACTGTTTTGGTGAATTAGAGTGTTCCTTAGAGAACTTGATATTGTGGAACTTTTCTAGATCCTGAACAAGAGAAAATTCTATGATACCGTGCATATTAGTGTGTATATTATATGTGAATTGTTTACAGAACTGATGTAGATACATTTTTAACATTTGTTTCCAATGATGCTGTTCTCTGTATTAAAAAGTAACCACTAGACTCAATGTTTTAAATGGATGGAGGTCAGAAGAGACCGAAAACTTACCCAGAGGGCATGGCGGCAGTTGGGGGAGGACAACATCTGCACTTGGCTCCATTGTAGCCTTAGCAATAGGCGACCCCTTTGTGTAAGTGTAAAGCAGAGATGCTACCAAAAACCCATTGTAACTTCTACTTCTGAAGGAGGGGGAAGGAAGAAGGGAAGGCCTTTTCAACATGAGGGAGTCTGTACATACTGTATTCATCACCTTTCAAAGATTGCCCTCCAAGGTTTGCCTGCAAAGCCATTGCAATGCTAAGGAAAGTGTTGTTACTACTTTTTTTTTTTTACCAAAATTAGCATTGTCCAAATTTCTAATAAGGCATTTATTTATGTTTACCAGACTGACTTGAACTGGCTGAAAAGTAATGCAATCTATTGAAGAAATGAAAGGTTGAGCTCATTAATAAGGAAGCACAGAATGTGCTACAGACTGAAAAGCTATTCGAAAGGAGTCGCAAGTGCCTTGGTGTTTTAAAGCAGCATTTCCTAGGAAGCCTCAAATCAAAACCGATGCCTCTTGTAGATTTGATTTTGTAGGCCTGTGGTAAGTTCTTGTGCAGCGGGATTTGGGAGCCATCGATTTCGCTTGTAAGTTACAATAAATCATCCAAGCTCCCACTTGGACCGATTAGAAGGGAACATTCAGCTGATGTGATGCAAGTTGTGGGAGCTGTGCCTCCGCCGGGTGAGGCAACCGTGTTGCAGGTCAAGGCAAGAGGCCTGATGAAAAGTGGGACAGTTAATTTCGTGCCGTTCATGGCCACAGATCACTGCGATCATCACAACCCACCGGCAGCCAATCCTCCTCATTGGGGGAGCAGCAGCAATCGCGTCCTCAAAGCCACGGGGCAGCCCTGAGGCCCTCCCACTGGGGGAACCAGATTTAGAAGCTGAGTGTCCGGAGCTCAGTGACCTGCGTCCCGTTAGCGTGAGTTGAGCTGACAACACTGAGTGGCTCTAAGAATAAGACAAGTGTCTACTGAACAGATGGGGACTTTCTTCCCATTGGAACCTTTGTGAGGCAATTTATTGAGACCTGGGTGGGTGACAAGAATTGGTCTGTTAGCAGGGCCATCTTTGTAGGGTCGTGAACAAGGCAAATGACAGTGGGCTCCGGTGTCATGACCACCCACGTAGTCGGGCCAGAAGTGGTCCCGTTAACACGATGGTACCACTTCCCAGTACACCCGGCTGGATTATTTTCAGTAATGGATATTGATAGGATCACCCACATTTTCTTACCAGTAATTCAGCAAAGCACATGTTTATTACTTTTATTTTTTCTCTTGAAAACAAAAATTGAGAGTCATAAAAGTACCTCCTGCAGATTGGCGCATAGAGT